TCTCTACTCAATTATATTAATTCTTGCTTGTATGATAAGATCATGTGTTACATTTTGATTCCTAACTAAATTAAAAGATTATTAGGGGCATGTTTGGTGGAAATTAAAATCCAGAACGTTAATCTAAATCAAAGTCAATAACAACCTTCATGGGGTCCACAATTTTTCAACCACATATTTCGTCAACTTTTATCAAAATCTACTAAAAATATAATTTTAAACCCCACCAAAAATGGAGCGCGTGTAGTCTCGTATTTCGCTGATTTTATTGTCACAATTCTACCATTAAAATTTGGAGAAATGTTAGAAATTTCATTTTTCAAGAATCAGATAACCAAAATTTGCAAAAAAGCAGCCTCCCTCCCTGGCGCCAAATTTTGACTGGTGAAATCGTAAGTAAATTGATAACCTCAGTGACTCAAGTGTTTAAAACTGAAAGAGAGTCCTCTTATGCGATAACCATTAACTGATTCTTTTTTTTTTTTTGTCAATAAAATCGCTAGTTTCACTGTCAAAGTGTTTTCTAATCGCACCGATATATGCGGACCCTAATACAGCTGGTTGAGTTAATAGTTTTAAACATTTTGCAAAAGAATCGTTAGCAAATCTGAGTTTAATTTTGGTGGGAATTTTTCAATGAAATATTTCTGAAGAGTAGAGAGGAAGAAGAAGAACAAGAAGAGCAAGAAGAACAAGAACAAGAACAAGAACTTAGTGATGGGGGATGAAGTTGAAAATTTTCAGAATAGTCCCTTTTCTGAGTTTGGAAATCAAAGCAATGAACAGCAGGTTCTTCAAGTTTTGTGTCCCTTTTGCATTCTTGTTCAAGTGTATTAGAGAAAAACTATGATTTCTTGTAATTTACTAGGTTTCATGCATGACAGTTTGATGCTTAAAATTTGAAATATTGTACATTATTGAGGTTTAAAATCTGTGATTTCATGGTGTTTTTTTTTTTTATTATTTTTTAATAAAATCATGCACAAGTATATGTTTTCTTCTATTTTGGTATCTGTCCCTATTGATTTGTTTCACTAATGGATTTGACAGCAAGAAATCCAGAATTGTTCCGAAGAGTCGGGCCCTTTAGGTTTGACACTGCGAAAAACGCCATCTTTTGTCGATCTAGTGGAGATGACACTCGCGAATGGAAATCAAGAAGACCATTCGACTTCGACGTCGAGGTCGACGGCTCTTGGCTTAAACAAGAATAGTTCTCGAATGGGTAATGAGCATTTAAAGGCTACCAATTTCCCTGCAACTTTGCTTCGAATTGGAACATGGGAGGTATTTTTTTTATTTATTTTTATATAGATTTTCTTGAAAAGAAATACTTAAATGATGCTCTACGAATCAATTTTTTTCTTAAATAAATATTTATAATAATTGTAACGTGACAGTGGAGAGCAATATTTGAAGGTGACTTGATAGCAAAGATATACTATGCAAAGAAAAAAATTGTTTGGGAGATTCTACAAAGACCATTGAAGAATAAGATCGAAATTCAATGGTCTGATATTAGTGCAATTCGAGCCAGTATGCCTGAAAATGAAGTTGCAACTCTGGAAATTGAGGTTAAATCTTTTTCCCTTTTATCATTAATTTAATGAATGAAACGTTCGATTATTGTCCATCGTTAGCTTAAAAGCGAGAAATTTTGTGCAGTTGAATCAACCGCCTTTATTCTACTGCGAAACCGATCCCCAACCGCGAAAACATTCTGTTTGGAAACCGTCGATTGATTTTACGGGAGGACAAGCTTCGATTTGGAGGTATTCTTCGAAATAAATTCAATTGCACTAATTGAAAACAAAGAGAACTGTACTAACTCACTACACTCGAATACATAACGATATTTGTGACTTTTTGATCAGGAGACACTACGTTCAATTTGCTCCCAAAACCCTCGATAAACACTACCAAAGGCTTTTGCATAATGATGAACGACTATTTTCATTGAGCCATGAACTCTTCCCGAGCCAAGAATCCACTTTTTTCTCTTTCGATACCATCTCGGAATTTCTCCCTCGAATGCTATATCCATATCAAAATTATACCCCACCAATAACAATGGCACCTCATATGTTTCCTTCAAATTCAACATCAGGTATGAGATTAATTATGCAGAAAAAATATTGAAATTCTCAATTGTGACTTTTGAATCTCTACTATTTTGTAACCGTTATGGATTTCTGCAGGGATTGTGAATCAAAACCAGACTTTTTGGGGACAAGCAGAAGATATTCAAGATGCATCGTCTATTAAATCGGTAACACAATCTTCCAATCTAGTTTTCGACTATCCTTACTCGGATAATGTGGGATCTCAAGTTGTAAGTTCTGATGAGATGGGCCACCTTGTCAATGTCGAATCAATGAATTCATTGCTAGATCTACTGGATGCGACTCCTAACGATGGACTTAATCCGTTAGATGCATATCCTAATAATCAAGTGGTTCAGAATGACATCGAAAATTCCATATCGGATGGTTTCTGTCCACAACCTATGAATCGGATAGCTCAAGAATCTGAAGAAAACCTTGTGTTGCAACCGGAAGTAAACTTGGTCGATCCATTTGAATTTGAAGGATCGATGGATGAAGATTCTTCTACTTGGAATTCTACTCCGAATATGTTCGGAGTTTTCTATTCATAAATAGACTTGTTCTTCTTCCCTTTGGGAAAATCCTCAAATGGGAAAGAATTTTTTTTCATCTGATGTTCATTTTTGTACATTTCTTGAAGGGATTGTCCTTATTCAGAAAAAAAGTTAGCATTATGTTGATTTTTATTTATTTCAATAATTTGATTATTAGAATTGAAATTTGAAAGATTCGGTGGCTCACATAGGTCAAATTATAGAAAAATTAATGCTTCTTCTAGAAATGATGATGGTTTTTTTCTTTTTGTGTGATAAAAAAAACTTGAATTTTGAAATGAACTTTAAATGGGATGAGACCATGTATCCTACACTCACCCTGCCCCCTATGTCGGGGCAACTACCCTTGCCTCGTCTCTGTCCCGTGTACTCGATTAGGCGAAAAATCCTAGGTCTGAACCATGGTATCGAGTATAAGAGATTTTTTTGTCATCCCTATTTCTATTCGACCTTTTCTTCTAGGGTTTTGTCTGCATGAATTCTATATTGTGTATATATATTTTTATATTTTTAATGTTTTTAGTTGGTGAAAATCATTACTTTCTTCAATTTATAGAAAAATTCATGCCTCTTCTAGAAATGATTATGGTTTTTCTTTTTTTATTGGTAGAATTGTGACAATAAAATCGGTGACATACAAATTGAAAAGTATATATTTTAATTAGACAAACTAATTCATGAGAATACGAGACTACACATGCTCTGTTTGGTGGGGTTTAAATTATATTTTGGATTTTGATAAAACTTGACGAAATGTGTGCTTGAAAAATTATGGACCCATAAAGGTTGTTTTTGACTTTGATTTAAATTAAAATCTATAACTATAACGCATGATCTTATCATACAAGCAAGAATTAATATAATTGAGTATAGATATATCCTAAAAGGTTTTGCTATTTGTACACTGGGTTTGACACCCCTGTGTACAGACCTCCTTACAAGAGGGTGGGCCACAATCGATAGAAAAAAGACTTATGCTACATGTACAAAATTGGGTTACAAAGTTAGTTGACAAAATAATATCTACACCAATCATTTTAAAAACAGATTTTTAAATCATTTGAAATCAATGGTCAAAATTTTACCAACGCACTTTGTAACCCAACTTTGTACAAATAGCTTTATTGTAGAAAAAAATCGTGGATCCCTCTCTTGTGAGGGGGTCTGTACATCGGGTTGTCACACCGGGTATACACTTAGCAATGCCCCATATCCTAAATTCTTCAATCCAGTTGATGCTATAATTATTAACATTGGTCCTCCATTCTCTTCATTATCTAATTATCATGCAACCCTTCAATTATTTAATTACGCTTTTAAGCCATTTTACCATTTTATTTCACTAATTTGAGTCAAATCCAACGTTGATGTGGGCTTGTACTTTTTTATTTCTACATTCTACCAATTAATTAACTATATTGTATTCAATAAAAATGTTGAAATATCGAACACATGATCACTAGCTATGAATCAAAATCCCACAGAAAATTTGTGAAATAAGAAGAAGGGAAAATTTCACAAATACCCATCTATAAAACAAAAATATTGAAAAATACTGAGGTGCAGAAAATTGAAAGCGCTATTACTTTTCATTATAGCTTAGTGAAAAAGGTAACATATTGTCACTTCATCAAAACTCGAATTTCAAGTTTAGCCACACAAAAAAGTAACACACTATGTTACTTATCATTAAAAATTGATATTTCACACAAGTAAAATACCTTAACACTTTTCATTAAATCAACGTTCCGTGTGGATCCAAACCAACGCTTTCTAAACAACAGTTTCGATTTGGTTTTGATGTCTACCGTGATTTTTTTTTCATCCCTAGTTTTTGGTTTCAGTTTGGATCTAGTGAGTAAACATTAATTAGGTCAAACAAATGTTTATAGAATCGAAACAAATTATTTTTTTTAAAAAAAATCTAATTAGATCCAATTAAAAAAAATTAAATTGTAAAATGAAATATCATGGAAATTGAGAGAATCACGGAAAAGAGAAGTGTGGCAAAAAATGAATTGTGCATACATAAGGGCACTACATGCAAAATGAATTGTATGAAACTCAGAATAAGGGCACTACATGCAAAATGAATTGTATGAAACTCAGAATTTTCCAATCAAGAAAATTTTAAAAAGTTAATACAATTATTTTAATACGTTTTATATTTAAATTTTTTTATTTTATTCATACACAATCAATATTGACAACTAGACATATTTTACACTTATTTAACGTTCTATCATTAGACTAGGTAACTAGCATTGCTCTTGTTGCTAAATATATGTTATTGCTGTTGGTTGATTACCTCTCGTACTTGTCGATATCATTTATTTGAATAACACTCGTTCAAATATATGGCCAGATGTTTTACACATCATGGGATGTCAATCAAAATGTCAAAAATGGATGTCAAAGTAGCTTTATTTTTTTAATAAAAGTCAATGAATTATGTGACTCAAAAGTCTTAAGTCTCGTAAAATATGTGGTTAAAATTAAGAGTTAAACCTCTTGTACAGGGGATTTTGTCAGGGAGATAGGTGGCACGTGTAGTGGTTGGGATAAAACTATTTATTGTCCAAGGTCTAATGAATGCGTGTCAAATGTCCCATGTAATGCAGCTTGGCAAAATCTCATTTAAATGTAGCAGGATTGTAAAATTAATTTTTGATTTTGATTTAAATTATAATTATAATTATAATTTTTATCAAACGGGACTTAGTAAAAAATAGTAAAGTCGAAATTATTTTGTAATTATCATTGAACAAATGAGAATTTTAAAATAATTTTGTGTATTTTAGTGTTCGTTCCATAAAACTTTTGAAAAGTTAAAAACTACTTCTTTAAAGTCAAAATTGTTTATGATATTAACAAATTATTTTTGAATATATTTGAATAATTTTTTAAGGGGACTTTATCTGGTTAGAAGAGTTTTAGAGAAAACTAATTTTACTTAAATTTTTCAATTTTTTTTTTTTTAACAAAAAACAGAAAAATAAGAATAAAAAATCATCCAGACATTCGTTACTTCCAATCTCTAACTATGCCAAAATCAAAGGCTAAAGTCGTCATTTTAGACCAAGTATTATCGTACATGTTTCACCATGTGAAACCCAATGAGGATACGCCACGTTACATCAATGACAGCGAATTATACGTTGTCAGATTCTGATTCGTCCATTTCATCCTATCATGCCACATCAGATCCAAGATCCGAGTTGAACTCAGTGTAAACCCAGCTTGAAGACTCACTTATATATACAGCTCTCACTGTAAAGTACGCTCAGTCTCACTCTATCTCTAAAACCGCCATGGTGATAGTACAGAGAAGAGCACCAATGAAAAGCCGTGACTTTCCCTCTCTAGCCATTGCTATCTCTCTGCTTTTCGCGATTTCATCTGCTGAAGTTTTCTTCGAAGAACGCTTCGACGGTAGTGTTCTCTCCCTAATTAATAAAGATCGGAAATCTGCTATCTGTGATTTAATGTGCTGTCATCTAGATGAGTTTTCGGTTTTTTTATGATGGATATTTTGACTATTTTGTGGATGATCAAGGTTAATTTCTGTTATACATATCGATCTGATCGTTTGAACGAAGGAATGGACTTTAGGTCTAAATGCGTGTGCTATTAAGACGCTTTGGTTTAGATCTATGACATTTTTCTCCTTTTTGTCAATTTAAATGTCAAATTCACTACGGTTTCGATTTTTCGTGCTCTGATTTTGAAAATGCTGAATCGATTTAGACGAGTTGTGCGATCAATTTCATGTTCGAGCTATAATTTGAATGAAACTTTTGTAATATATTGAGCTTTTGTTTTATATGTTTTAACTAATGTGAATATATATCACGTTGTAGTATAATCGTGGGGTAATTATGTAGCCGCTTTCACATTACATTTCATGTAAAAATTACTGCAAAATCAGATACATTATGTATGTCCAAGTGATGACCGTACATGGCATGCATGTGAAAGTAACTTTTGTATGATTCATGGGATTCTTGCTCCCTTAGGAGTGATAGTAAAGGAAACTTTTCAAAATTACAAAAAGGAAAGGAGCAGAAAGTAACTGAATATATGGAAGGGAGAACTTCATGTGTTTGTTGCAAAAGCTGTCGGGTTCTGTTTGCTTTGGACAAATGACATTTCTACATTCATAGTTTGGAGTATTTCCTGTTTTGTTAATATATTATAATGATCTCAAAAACAGATTGAATAGTTTTTCCTTTTATCAAATGAAAATTTTAACTGCTTCTTGGATCTGTTTTCTTGTGCTGATTTGTATTTTCGGTAAATTTTGAAGATGGATGGGAAAACCGTTGGGTTAAATCCGAATGGAAGAAAGATGAGAACATGGCTGGAGAGTGGAATTACACCTCTGGCAAATGGAATGGAGATCCAAACGACAAAGGTAACCTTTCCTTTTGTAATGTGTGTTTGAAACATATATATGTATGTAGTTATTTATTTATAATGAAACACAAAATTAAAGGGGTGTTAGCTTCTGTCAAACTCCAGGTATCCAGACCAGTGAGGACTATAGGTTTTATGCCATCTCAGCTGAGTTCCCTGAATTCAGCAACAAAGAGAAGACCCTTGTGTTCCAGTTCTCTGTCAAGCATGAGCAAAAGCTTGACTGTGGTGGTGGATACATGAAATTGCTGAGTGGTGAAGTTGATCAGAAGAAATTCGGTGGTGACACCCCGTACAGGTTATACACTATATATGCTTTCCTTGTGGTAGTTTTTTCTGTTCTCACTGGGTTAATGTTGTCCATGATGAAGTTGCTGATTGGTTTTATTATGTGGTTGACTGCAGCATCATGTTTGGACCAGACATTTGTGGCTACAGTACCAAGAAAGTCCATGCTATTCTGACATACAGTGGGAAAAATAATTTGATCAAGAAAGATGTCCCGTGCGAGACTGACCAACTGACGCATGTATATACATTTATCCTGCGCCCTGATGCTACTTACAGCATCCTTGTTGACA